TTGCAAAGAAGGGAACTGCCAAGGAACTGTGGGATTCAATGAAGGAGAAGTTTCAAGGGAGTGCTCGAGTTCAAAAGGCTCAATTACAGGTACTTAGGAGAAACTTTGAGTTGCTTGAAATGAAAGAAGGAGAGTCCATATCAGAGTATTTTGGTAGGGTCATGGTAGTTGCAAATACTATGAGGAATTGTGGAGAAGATATGCCAGATGACAAGGTAGTTGAGAAAATTTTGAGAACTCTGAATGATAGGTTCAACTATGTTGTGTGTTCCATCGAGGAATCCAAAGATATTGATCTTCTGACAGTTGATGCTCTTCAAAGCTCACTGCTGGTGCATGAGCAGAAGTTCAATAGAAAAACTGCAAAGGCTGTAGTTGAGGATGATCAGGCTCTTAGGGCATCTTATGAGTATGGTAGAGGAGGAAGAGGTCAAGGAAGAGGATATGGAGGTGTAGCAAGAGGAAGAGGAAGGGGAAGAGGCTGGAATAGAGAAGTTGTTGAGTGCTTCAAGTGTCACAGACTGGGACACTTCAAGTATGAGTGTCCTGAGTGGTATAATGGTCCTCAAGCACACTATGCTAACTCAAATCAAGTGCAAACCAGGGCTCAAGGGGATATGAAGGATGACATGTTGCTCATGGCTTGTGTTGACTCTGAAAGCTCATTGGAGTTGGAGGAAGAAGCACTAGGACTGATGGCTTTACTTGAAGAAGTGAAACAAGATAGGCATGAGGACTGGTGGTTTTTGGATTCTGGATGTAGTAATCATATGACAGGAGATAAGAAGTGGTTCACAGAGTTGAATGCTGACTCTACAGGTTCTGTTAGACTTGGTAACAACAACAAGCTGGAGGTTGCAGCAAAGGGAAGTGTAAAAATTGAGGCTGCAAATCTGAACATGATCATTAGTGATGTCTTTTATGTGCTTGGCCTTAAGACTAATCTGTTGAGTATTGGCCAGTTACAAGAGAAGGGTCTAGCTTTTCTGTTCAAAGATGAATGTTGCAAGATTTTTCATGAGGAGAAAGGGTTGCTGCTGCAGACAGAAATGAAGTCAAATAGGATGTTTGTCATACATCCTGAAGATCAGTCAAAAGAGCAAGACTTTCAGTGTTTTCAAACTGTCAAAAGCAAGGAGAAAGATCTGGAGTTGTGGCATAGAAGATTTGGGCACACTAACCTACAAGGATTGAAGCAACTGCAACAAAAAGGTTTTGTTGTGGACTTACCTGCATTGAAAGGAGAGCTGGGGGTTTGTGCAACCTGTCTTATTGGTAAGCAACACAGAAAACCTTTCCCAAAGAAAAGCTTATGGAGAGCAAGTCAGAAACTGGAACTTGTGCATGCTGACTTGTGTGGTCCTCTAACACCAGAATCAAATGGTGGAAAAAGGTATATTCTTACCTTGACTGATGACTTTAGCAGAAAGCTGTGGGTGTATTTCTTAACTGCCAAGTCAGAAACTCTCGAGTGGTTTAAGAAGTACAGAATTCAGGTTGAGCAAGAAACAAGATCAAAAATCAAGTGCTTGAGAACTGACAGAGGAGGTGAATTTATGCTCACTGAGTTTAGAGAATTGTGTGACCAAGTTGGAATCAGAAGGCAACTCACAGCTGCTTTGACACCCCAACAGAATGGGGTAGCTGAGAGGAAGAATAGGTCAGTATTGAACATGGTAAGATGCATGCTGTCAGATATGAAAGTCCCAGCTGTTTTTTGGCCTGAAGCAGTAGCCTGGACAACACATGTCCTAAACAGAAGCTCTACTAAAGCAAACAAAGGAAAAACTCCTCAAGAATTGTGGACTGGACATCCTCCTTCTGTCTCTTACTTTCGAGTTTGTGGTTGCTGGGGAGGAAAATAAGGTGTACAGGCTTCACAAAGCACTCTATGGCCTCAAGCAGGCACCTAGAGCTTGGTATAATAGGATAGAATCCTATTTTGTTCAGTCTGGGTTTGAGAGAAGTCCCTATGAACACACTTTGTTTTTCAAGAAGGCTGGAGCTAGCATTTTGATCCTGAGTTTGTATGTAGATGATCTGATGTATGCAAGCAATGATGATGATATGTTGGCTGAGTTCAAGCAATGCAATGCAATCTGAGTTTGAAATGACAGATCTGGGAAGGATGCATTATTTTTTGGGAGTTGAGGTTAGTCAAAAGGAGTCTGGGGTGTTTATCAGTCAACAAAAGTATGTAAAAGAGCTTCTGGCAAAGTTCAATCTCTCATACTGTAATCATGTGCTTAATCCTATGAGCCCTGGATGCAAATTGAACAAGGCTGGAGATGGGGTGTTAGTGAACCCTACAGACTACAAGCAGCTGATTGGAAGTTTGCTGTATTTAACAGCAACCAGGCCTGATATTATGTATCCAGTCTGCTTTCTTAGCAGATTTATGGAATGTCCAACTCGACAACACATGTTGGCTGCCAAGAGGGTGCTAAGATATTTGAAGGGAACTGTGAATTTTGGTATCTGGTACAAGAGAAAAGGGGAGGAAGAAGAGGAGTTGGTAGGTTATACTGACAGTGACTACGCTGGAGACACTGATGACAGGAAAAGTACAGGAGGTTATGTGTTTTTTCTGGCAGGGGGAGTCATCTCATGGGCTTCCAAGAAGCAACCTGTGGTTGCTCTGTCCACCACAGAAGCAGAATTCGTTGCTGCAGCTCACTGTGCTGCACAAGGTGTTTGGCTTCGAAGAATTCTGGAGCAGATGGGCTGGGGACAAAGTGTGAAAAGGGCCACAACCATTCTGTGTGACAATAGTTCAGCGATCAAACTGTCAAGAAATCCAGTTCTCCATGGACGCAGCAAACATATTGATGTGAGGTTTCATTTTCTGAGGGAGCTGTCAAATGAGGGAGTGGTTGAATTGGAATACTGTGGTACACAAGAGCAGGTTGCAGACATTATGACAAAACCTTTGAAATTGGAAGCATTTCAGTTGCTGAGAAGCAAAATGGGACTGTGTGATGTGTCAGAACCTTCTGATGAATGTTGAATGATGAAGCATGTGAACTGAACAAGGTTGAGCGGGTTCAGTTCAGGGGAGGATTTGTTGGAGCAAGGAGTCGAGCTGTAAGTGCTGAGGGAATCCGAATCCGAGAAGGAGAAGGATTGGTTTGGCGCCAAAGATCGAAAGTGTTTGAATAAAGAAGAAACGCTGCCGTGTTGGTTAGTTAGGAGTCTGTCTGTCGAGTTGGTTAAATGTGTGTTTGGTACCTGAGTTCTGTAAAGTGTCAGTTGAGTCCTAAGTTGCAGTTGTGGTGTTGCAGTTGTGATAGAACTAAAAGTGTGGAGATCATGCTGCTGATTTGCATGTAGATCCATGTAGTGGTTAGTGCTGTGGAAGCCAGGTCTGTTGGCTAAACACAGAAGTATTTAAGGGTGTTTATTAATCTCGAATGAAACTGTCAGTTTGCAAATTCTTGTTCTCACAGTAGAGATGCACACCAAAGGATAACGGAGGGGGAAGACGGTGAATTTGCTCACTAGAGAGAAAGTGGGTTAGATTTGAAAAAATTCATGACATGACTTTTATTGACTCGTTTAAAAATACTAGACATTTTACTCATATTGTCTTTAGAAAAGTCATTGTAAACAAAATGTTTTCTTTGGCAAGTAAAACAAATACACTTTTGTATCATAACTTCACAGTCGAAGCAATTCCAAATGGCCCATAAATTTTTACGATAACTGGTCTATTTTGATGTTCTTGAAAGTTTATAAAACAAATCTACAAAGTAGCTAGCTTGATGGACGCAAGAATGTGTGTATGGTTTTACAATTACTTGTGATCATTATGATGTTGTTGGGAATAGGGATATTTTATTTATTTATAGAAACACCTGTAACTTTTACTAATTATGGGTATTGAGTGGTAATTAAGTTACAGGTCTGTTCGGATCTTAACATATCAAGTTATCAACAATAAAATTTGGTGCCCTAGCCAACCACTTTTCCTCTACATCCCAATTGCACCGCATATAAGATGATGAGGCTGAGTGGACGATTAAAATTATTATTTATAAATTTTTTGGAGCCATATCCTTTGTATAATATGAAAAGAAAGAAAAATCTTTCTATTTAATAAGCAAATTCTATTAAGCCGAGATTGACATGATAGTACATACAGACGCTCACCAAATTCTGTTTGCCACATAAGTAATTAACGGATTCCTTTAACAAAGTTGGGCGGAGAGTAACGGAGAGTGACCAAGCATGACATGTTTTACTAAACTTAGTGACCATTATTGATATTACTTTTTTTCAATGACTAAACATGGCACGTTTTAGTAAACTCAGTCACCAAACTTAGAATTACCCTTTTGTATATATCTACACATATATGTAAAGTGAAGTGAACATTTTTTTCTCATTTCAAATTTTTTGACCGGATCGAAGACATATATCCATCTGATAGGGTAACCCAGAGCTAAGTCACTCAGATGCTGTGTTGGTAGCAGAGATTGTTCACGAAGCCATTCCATCGCTCTCGTCATATGTTATTATCGGACAAATTGATGCTTAGGGACCAGCATCAATTTGGGAGAGGCTGTTAGCAGTTTTGAGCTTGTGTTGGGCTCGTACACTTTTGGTTTGGCCCATTGTATAATAACATACACGTTGCAGTCAGTAGCGGTAGAAACTAGCCCTACCAGAGGCATACGTGAGCTAGGGTTAGAGAGTAATATATATATATATATATATATATGGCGAGTTCTACGGTACCCTGGGTGAAATCCGGGGTACCGCATACCTTGAGTATGAAAACACTATCTAGACCTTGAATTGACCGATCTTTCGGACATGATACTATACTCTAACACTTAAAGATCAAAATCTAGGTGTTAACTCTCCCAATCTTATACTCTAAGATCAATTTAATTAGAAACAATAATCAACGGTTATGATTCATCCAAATATAGGCACAAAAAGGAATGAACCATCTTAGGGTTTATAGATTATGATTTAGATAATTATGACCTACGGTTCACTCATTAAGGGTTATGGTATAATATCAGACACAAAAATCCTGGTAATTCAAGGTCTAGATAGAGTTTTAATTACTCGAGGTATGCGGTACCCCGGATTTTACCCGGGGTACCATAGAAGCCACCATATATATATATATATATATATATATATATATATATATATATATATATATATATATATATATGTAAACATGTGGAGTATCAGACTCAAGAAAAACCTAATAAGAGTTTCGGCTCGGAGAGTTCTAGCTCTCACGTGGACTAGTCCCGATATCGGGGAAACCACGTAAACTGTGTGTCTCGTTTTCTTCTTTGTTTTGTATTGAGAGTGTTTTGATACTAGCTAACCGAGATTCACTGCCTTTTAGATTTAGACGGGCAAGTTAGGATTAAACATATTTAATTTCTAGGGTGTTAAATTTTGTAGTCGATTATCTTATAGCTCAGACATTTTCTTTCGATAGAGATGCACGTGTCTTAAGCTCCATCCCATCTGTAATGTATTGGATGTACTTCCATCTAGTTGGGGTAGGGATGACAATGGGTCGGGTTTTGTCAAACCCAAACCCATGGGTTTATCTGTGAAAAAAATCCGGGATAAAACCCACTGAGTTTGAAAAACTCAAACCCAACCCAACTCGCTGGGTATCCACGGGTTTATGGGTACCCACGGGTTTTTGTCGTAAAAAAATTACAATAACAAGTTCCTATCAAAATTAAAGTCAAATATCAATCTCTCAGTACAAATTATCCATATATAAAACATCATTCTAGAAATTCAAGCAAATCACAAATTAACTATACAAATTGTTCAACACCAATCTAGAAAACTCAAGAAAATTTAAGCAAATCACAAATTATCCATAAACAACATGATTAATTGAAAGTTTCTTCCTTTCAATTAAGTTTCTTCACTCTACACTCGATAAACATCAACTTCATTCTAAGGTTTCTTCTTTTTCTCTTCTTGTTCTTCCTCTTTCTCCTCCTCGTTCAAAATTCCAGCCACCAAATGAAGCCCAAAAAGGAAAGAAAACAGAGATAGAAGACAACAAAAAGATGCAAAAAAAGAGTTCATCTCCACTTCTTTCTTCTTTAGCCATACACATACAGAAAGGGGACTGAAGACTTCTTCACCTCTGTCCCTTCCAAGCACACCACCAATCCCAGCGAAAAAGAAAGAACAAACAGAAGCTAAAACACAAAAGACAGGAGCCGAGTAGCTGTAGAATTGGATGAAAGTGAAGCAAGAGCATGGGAGCCAACGACAAAAGCCAGAGTCATTTCCAAGCGCTACAAACAACCAACGGTTGGTACTCGGTGACTCTGCTCTCCCTGGGAACCGGAGGGATTCGAAATAACCGTAGGCCTCTGGAGAATGAGGAGCCCAGAGATTATGAGAATCGATGTGATGTTCAGTGGCATCGTGTCTCGGTTTGCCCTGAGAGATTGGGGGATATTGTCATGAAGAATATTGTGCCCGGGGATAAAACTGCAAGAGGACGAGAAAGAGCGTGCCAAGAGATCCCCTTCCAAATGCCGATCCGTTTACAGAAGCGTCTCCATGCAGTGGTGGACTGGGCGATCTGAAGGCCTTTGTGGGATAATATGCACCCATCCTCGCCTCTGCCACCGTGCGTTTCAGCAGTTTGCTGGCCGACGCCATTGTGCGTCGCCGATTCCGACTTTCCTTCACCCATAAAGTTCTTTTTCCGGGGGCTTCTACCTCTCTTTTTGCAGGATCTCAAAGGAGTTGCGGGCTGAGGTCCCCGGACCGGCGAATCTTTCCGACGGATGGCCACTTTTTCGGCGGCCGCAATAAGCGCGACGGTTACAATCTTTTGCAGTTGCTTCTCTCATTCGTGGGCAGACGGTTACAACTCCCAGTGGATTCCAACCGTCCCAAGATAAGTATTTTTAATTTCTCTCTAATTCTTTTTTGTGTTCCGGTTTTCATAATTACCGTTTTCATTTTTTTTCGTTTTCCTTATCATAATTGCACGTTTGTTTATTTTTTGATTGAGTTTGCCACGTTCTAAACTTCTTTTCCTTGATTTTTTTATTTATCAAGTCTCTTATCCTTTTTATTTAGTTTCTATTGTGTTTTTGTCCCATTTCCGTCGTTCTCTGATTATGGTTGGAAATTAGGGATGTGTTTATCCCTTGCTTGTGGTTGCATCCTGTTTTGTGCACTTTTTCACTTCTTGTTCTCTATAACAAATTAAATGGCTTTCTCAAAGGAATGGTTGCATTTTCAGTAGGCATTCTAGATACACTTTTTATTTGTGTTTTTAGACTCTCTTGTTGGTGGGAATGGCTTTCCTGCTTGGTACATTTAGTGGTCGGTTGGTTAATCCTCGACGAGGAAGCGTTTTGCTTGAGATTATAGATTTCTGTCTTTTGCGGCTATGTGTTTGCTCATTTTGCAGGTACAACTGCTAATAGGGCTGCCCATTTTGTGGCATAACAGGCCCTTTCATCGGAAGTTCGACTATTTGTCGACTACCGCACGGTGTTTATCTTTTGTTTTTTGACTCTGTATTGGCTAGGGATTTACCTAGCTACTGTCTATGTTAAAAAAAAAAAAAAAACATCAACTTCATTCTACATAATTTGAAAGAAAATATTAGACATGTCTCCACAAACATAAATAATATTAGTTGTTAAAATATTAAATATACCGAGAAAATTAATTATATGAGTGTAGGCTGGTCCCATGGACCGGGTTTACCTAAACCCAAAACCAACCCGGTGAATAGTGAACGAGTTTAAATCCAAACCCGACCCAAAATCCATCAACACGGATTTTACCCGTTTTGACCGGGTTGGGTCGGGTAGGTACCCGTGGGTTCAGGTTTTGTTGTCATCCCTAGTTGGAGGTTGCACACTTCCACTCCAAGAGTCAATTAATGAATAAGATTGGTGTGCCTTTTAAACGCTCCGTTTTTTACAACAACAGCAAAAATCCTGGCACGAGCCCGATTTTAGTAATGTCCTTTCGTAAGTGTACCAATTTTTATAGATTAAAATTGCATTACTGGAATTTGAACACATACCACTCAATTGAAGAAAGAGCACGATAACTAACTTTCTTTTTGGATGAAACACCACAACAAGTTAGACTACATTGTATTTATTGCATTTTTTTCCATTAAACACTAGAAACATGTTTGGTGTTTGATGTTTCATCTTTATCATTCATTTGAGGTTATTTACATTTTATGGAAGGATACTAATTATGAAACCGTAACTCAAGTAAGATTAATTTGAATATTAATTATTGAATGTTACTTTAGACAAATACACACATAACCAAATTTTAGAAAAATATAATTAACCTTTTAATAATAATAATATACTCATTCTATGCTATCCATGAAACTGTTAATGTTAAGAGCACTATCAATGATGTTGACTAGTTTAACTAAATATTATGGCGTGACAATTTTTTTGTATTAACATGCCAGCTTGAGATTTTGGACAATTTTATTCTAATTAACTTTAATAAAATAGAAAAAACAGAAAAAAGAAAAATAATGATTATTTTTATTCATATTTATCATTTATTTGAAGTTATTTATATTTTATGGAAGGATACTAATTATGAAGCCGAAACTCAAGTAATATTGATTTGAATATTAATTTTTGAATCGTACGCATGATTTACTTTAGGAAAATACTCGTGCATAACCAAATTTTAGACAAATATAATTAATTTTTTTAATAATAATAATAATATTTTCATTCTATCCATGAAAGAATGCATGTACTCGTTAGAAGTGTCTATCAATTTTACAAATATACAAAATCTTACCCTTTTAAGTTTCACTTTTATGTTTTACGCTTTAACCCATTTTTCTGCTTCTATGTAGAATTGTGTCTTTGACTACATGTTTACATGCTACGCCCATCACCCAACAACCATACATGTATAAGTTGGTAACATTTGTATGATCGTTAAAAATTGACACAATTTTAAAGTTATGATTGAGTCCAAGTACACACAAAGGTTGTGTGAAATTTTATTTGGTCATGAACCTCAACATTTCACATAATATATATGATTCATTTGCTTATACAATAGTAATATGTTGGGAGTCATATTATAATAATATTTTTTGTCATAGTATAGTATTATGAGATATTGGAGAAAACTAAAATTTTCCTTGGCAATATGAAATTAAAGATACATAACAGAGCTTTGAACAATTGATAATAAAGATTAATCCTATGATCGGTTGGAATTTGTGGTTGATTGCATTCTTGACCCATCTTCTTATCGACTACAGTATCACAATTTGTCTTTGCGCAAGCAATCGTAAAATATCCACATTGCAAGCATATGTGGATAGTAATCCACATTAGCCTCAATTTTCTGTTTTTATTTGTTCTTCATTAACCTGATTCTTCGACCCTCTTTCTGATTTGTAATTCAAAAGAAGTAGAGCGGAAATGATCGAAGTCAAAGAAGGGATCGATCCCGACAATTAAGAATGAAATAAGATAGAATTGAAGACGAGAAGGAAGGATTGGAGAAGGAGGAAAATAGTCTAGAGCAAAGATAGAAGAAGAACATAGTAAGAACCAAGACGAAGATAAGGTCAAGATAAAACAAATAAATTAGAAAATAGTTTCAATATTCTGTATTCGATAATGCCCATTACAATAGATTATTTTCCTTTTTTTATAGAGGGCCAATTACAAATTGATCACTCAACCAATTTTAAGTACATTCGGATTCTTATCATAGTCGAGTATAGGGTGCATAATTAGATCTGGACTCTTACTATTTAGTGGGGCCAAATCTAAGGGATGAGAATTAATAAGATTTTTTCTCTATACTTTTCTTAATAGGCTTTTATCTTCTTCGTTTCAACTTGAATTTCAAAAAGATGTACACAGAGGGAATGAGTTCGTTGTGATTTACAAAATGATAACCATTTTCAATATATTTTGTGATTTTTTTTTCATACACCAATACCACTCAGTACCACCTTCATTTTTAAATCAAATTTTGAAAAATTTGCCAAAGAAGAACAAGTTTGTTGTGATCTATTAGATCTAAATTTCCGGAGAAAAAATTTTCAGGACAAAAGAATACAATCCTGGTACAGGGTGGTAACTGGTGGTATACATTGATGAAATGTGGTAGATGACGGTTAATATTTTTTTATGAATACATTTAATATATTTCTACTATCATATATGCAACCATTCTACACTGCGGTATGTTCATACCAGCATGATACACTATCATACCATGTGATATAATCTTATATACATACATACCAAGTAGTACCATATGGTATAGACAGGTAATAAAAGTCTCAATTTTTTTGGTTCTAAAATTATATCAAAGTGGATGTCATTTTGAAGAGCAAAATTAATTAGAGGAAAATTATTATTCTTTCATAATAGTAAGTACGTGGTTAACTGGTTATACTCTCAAAATTAGTATTGTATGGTCTCATTTGTTGTGGCCCTAATATGTGGGCTTTTTACTTATTATGTTTGTATGTAGTCTTTATCTTTGAGTTAATACTTAATACCCTCTTTACACACATTTCCAGATTTTACTTTTTAATGAAACCGTTTGTAAAAAAAAAAAAACTGTTAATCATCATTCATCATCGCCACCACTACCACTAGCAAAACGTACAGAATACAGATATGCGTCCATCCAGAGGACAATTATTACTGTTGGGGTTACTTAAGGGCCCAAGAGGAAAGCTCAAGGGGGCCAGCAGGTGGGGAGTTTGGGTCTATCAAAGGGAAGGCCCAGGACTGTGACCTGGGCAGTTGGTTCCAGCTTAGAGGGGACGCATAGCGACAAGCAGGGGTCAACGACCTGGAACGTACGGAGGGGACAAGGGACAAGGAGTGGGGTCGGGCGCCTCAGGACCCAGAAGAATGTGTCAGAGTGCCACGGTTCCTGGCAAGTATAAGTACGATGCATTTAATGGCACGATGACGTAGGGCGGATTTGGGGGGCAATGGTCGGCCCTACCCCGAGTATAAATAGCGAAGTGGGTGGAGCTCATTTACTCAGGTTGGAACTTCTCTTTAAAACTATGTTTCACTTCTCTCTCTAGAAAGACTGTCCTAACTTGGGCGTCGGAGTCTAACGAGCCCTAAGTAAGGGGCTCGGTGGGCGCCTTCGTGTGCAGGGACGAGGCGCGCGGTAGGAGCAAGTTAGGAAAAGGAGGAGCGCGTGGACCATCGGGGACGTCGGGTTACGTGGCATAAACAATTGGCGCGCCAGGTAGGGGAATATAGCCTTGAAAGCAGGGGAGTCATGGAGGAAGCGGCGGAAACGGCAGGAGAGAGCACCCGCGCAACGAACAAAGCGGGGTCGGAGGAGGCGCCCCGTTTGTCGGAAGAGGTGCAAGGAGGGGGACACGAGGCGCAAGAGTCGATCCAATCGGAGGGCGTCACGCTCACCAAGGAGCACTTGATTCGCATAATAGAGGAGCAAGATCAAGCGCTCGAGGCACTAAGGAAGGAAGTGGAGGCTCTGAAGAAGGGGGGAGACATAGCGCCTCCCCCCGGCGGAAGGAAAAGAGAGAGAATCGAGGACGAGGAGGGGGTGTCCAGCGCTCTAAGGCGCACAGAGGAGCTAGGACATCTAACCCGGCACATGGCGCCAGACTTTGACGAACATAACGGGTGGGCGCCCAGGCGCCTCGGGTGGTCTTGGGGAGTCAGGAAACCGCTGGCGCGGAGCATCTTGGCGGAGCAGGCCAATTCGGTCATACCGACGCTCCCTAGCTACGACTGCACAACTGATCCGGAAGATCACCTGAACAATTACTTCACCAAAATGCAGTTGTACAATAGCTCGGACGCCACGTTGTGCCACGCCTTCCCGTCGACCTTCGTCAGCGTGGTGCTGGATTGGTACCATAAGATGGAGGAGGGTAGGATCGACAGCTTTGAGCAATTCCCGGCCATGTTTCTCTCAAAGTTTGCCACCCGGAAGCGCATGAGCCTAACGATTAGCGCATTATTCAAGGTAAGGCAGCGAAAGGGCGAAGCGCTCCGGGACTTCTACGAGCGATGAATGTCGATCGCGATGGCGGTCAAAGACGTCAAGCCCCTGGTCCTAGGGTGCTGTTTGGACGAGTGCACCACAAGTGAAGAGCTTTGCCGAGCGCTGTCGAAGCGGGACGTTGTGTCTACAGAGGATTTGGACCTCCGGGTGCAGAAAGTCATAATGTTGGAAGAGACATTGTCTGCGAGGAGAATGGAACGAAGAGAGGCGCGTCCCAAAGAGCCAGAGGGGTCACGGGCGCCCCAGATGTCACACGTCCCACAAAATCCTCAGGGCTAACCTCAGAACGTTCGCCGACCCGAGCTGCAACGCTTTGCACCCCGGAGTGCGACGAACTTCACTGAACTCAACGACTCCCTGAAGAATGTCTTGTAGTACGTAAGGGACAACAGGTACCTACTCCGCTGGCCGGGGCCCATGCGGGGGCGCGCGAATGAGCAGAACTTGGATAGGTACTGGGAGTTCCGCCGTGAGAGGGGACATCACACGTCCGACTGCTACCAACTAAAGTCAGAAATCCAGGGGCTTGTGGATAGGGGTATGCTGAACGAATTCGTAAAGAAGAGAGAGGATAAGGCACAGCGAACCTTCATGGCACAGGAGGAGAAGGTGGTGGCGCCCCAAGGGAGCGTTCGCGAGGACAGAACCGGGTGCGGAAAAAGGGAGGCGCCTAGAGAAGGCGAGGAGTTACCTCCACCCCCCCCCTTCGAGGTCGAGCCAGAGACTAAGCCCTCCCGGGTGAGGCTGACCATCGAGGCCATCTCCGGCACGATCGACCTGAGGCAGAAGTTAGAGGAAGGAAGGCGGCTGAAATCAGTCATTGCCAGTGCGCACGCGGCCGTGCGGATTGACTTCAACGAGGCTCCCGAGGAGGTGTGTCGTGTCCCGTCAGTCGAAGCTTTGGAGATCAGAGGAGTGGCGGCCGGGTGTGAAGTGAAAAGGATGCTGGTGGACACAGGAAGCTCGATGGATGTACTATTCCGGTCCACTTTTGAGAAGATGCAGCTGTCGCCTAACATCGTGAGGCTGGCCGACAAGGTACTGGTCTGATTTTTGGGGGTACCGGCGCGAGTCTTTGGGCGCGTGCGCTTGCCAGTGATGCTAGGAGAGGAGGAGCACAGGGTTATGCATACCGTTGACTTTGGCATCGTAAATTGTCCCTCTAACAGGCCGACACGGAGCGGGCGCGGGGATAGTGGTCATCAATCCCATGGGTCCTATTCATGAGATGGCGCTCCGGTTCTCGTCGTTAAAAACTAACAACGCGGCGGAGTACGAGGCTGTGATAGCGGGTTTGAATGTAGCGCGAGAACTAGGGGCGCGAAGGATTCAGGTCCGCTCTGACTCGGCCTTGGTGATAAACCAGCTGAACGGTGTGTTCGAAGTCAATGGTGGGGGTGATCAGAGAGCAGGATAGGGAGGAGGAAGGATGGATGACCCTGATTAAGGCGTATCTGCTTCATGGAACGGTCCCTGAAGACGCAAGGCAAGCATGGTAAGTGAGGCGCAAAGTTGCCTGTTGCACGATTCTCGAGAGCCAGATGTACACGAGGTCACACTCGAGGGCCTACCTGAAGTGTCTCACGGAAGTAGAAGGAGAAAGAGCGATAGCGGAGGTGGACCAAGGCGCCTCCGGCATGCACTCGGGGGCGAGGAGTCTCGGGAAGGTGTTTTTGCGTCAAGGTTACTACTGGCCTTCCATCAGAAAGGACGCTAAGAAGCATGTGGAAAACTGCCACCAATTCCAGATTCATGCCCACGACGTGCATGCCCCACAAGCGCCTATGCAAGGCAACGTGGGCGCATGGCCATTCTCGCAGTGGGGATGGATTTACGAGGGCCCTTCCCTAAGGAGCCCGGGCAGATTAAGTACCTAATTGTGGCGGTGGACTACTTCTCAAAGTGGGTGGAGGCGGGACCCTTAGCAACCATCACTCAGGCTCAAGTCAGGAAGTTTACGACCAGGAACATCTTCACTCGGTTCGGGCTGCCTGAATCAATCGTAACTAACCATGGTAAGCAGTTCGATTGCTGCCAATTCATCGAGTTATGCGACGAGAGTGGCGTTGTCTTGCGCTTCTCTTCCGTGGCCTACCCCCAGGCCAATGGGCAGGCGGAGGCGGCTAACAAGAGCATCTTGCATGGACTCCATACAAGGTTGCTAGAAGCCAATGGGAGATGGGTGGAAGAGCTCCCATGCGTGCTATGGGCGCATAGGACGACGCATAAGGTGGCGATGGGGGAGACGCCGTTTGCCTTGACTTATGGTAGCGAGGCAGTTATCCCGGTGGAAGTGCGCTTTCCCACGTATCGAGTGGCAGGGTATGAAGAGTCGACCAATGGTGAAGAGCGCGTACATGACCTCGACATGCTGGAGGAGCGCAGAGACGTCGCCTCCGTGCTCCTCAAGGCCATGAAGCAACAGGTGGCCAAGTACTATAATTGTAAGATGCGTCCCCATCAGATACGCCTGGGAAGCCTGGTGTTGCGACGCGACTTCCGACCAAAGGCTTGTGAAGGAAAGCTCGCTCCCAAGTGGAAGGGGCCGTATCGTGTCCGGGAGGTGATAGGGCATACCACGTTCAAATTGGAGCGCATTGGGGGGAAGGCCGTCAAGCGAACATGGAACGCACAGAACCTCACGGTGTACCACGAGAAGGAGGCGGGAGAGGTCTCGGAGCAACACGTCTGTAGCACAGGGTGTAAGGGGAATTACTATTACTACTCGCTCCTTGATCTGGGAGTGCTAACGAGCCCTAAGTAAAGGGCTCGGTGGGCGCCTTCGTGTGCAGGGACGAGGCGCGCGGTATGAGCAAGCTAGGGAAATGAGGAGCGCGTGGACCATCGGGGACGTCGGGTTACGTGGCATAAACAATTACATACTCTTTACTTATAAAAACCACCAGCTCACTATGCGCTCAATTTCTTTTCTTAAACGGACATATAATGTATCAAATTTTATGTTATGACTGTTTTTTTATCAATAACTATTTATTGAGTAACTCGAGTTTCAAAATCAAAGCTAAGAAAACATTTTATATAAGGGGCGAAGCCATGATTTAGCATTTTGGGGGCCGGAATTTTCTTAATATAGTAGCATAAAATGCTAAAAAAATACTAGTAATCAAAATATCATAAAAAACACTAATATTATTTTATTAAAATGGAAAAAAATATTTTCAAATTAAATTCACTATAAATAAAATAATAAAATTAATAATGCATTTCAATATTGTGTGGCACATCTGTTTGCATAATTACAAAACAAATTTCTACCAATATTAGTGCGTAGAAAAAATTATTCATTAAATATAAAAATTATCATTAAAATGAAACAATTTAATTGGACTAATTTTAAATTAAGAAATTAACAAACCAAAATATGAAAGCTAAATGATTAACTTCATTTGTTTAGCCAAATTATAATTAAATATATTTTCCATATATTGCACCCAATTAAAGTTTATATTTGGGCTCTAATTGGGAGTTTTATAACTTTATCGTAATATTCGGGACGAGTCAAATTGATTGGGTGGTAGACTCGTGGAATCCCTACCCATGAGGGTATTACCTGGCTTGACCGCGCTTGGTGCAGGATGAGGTACCCGCCTGCCCCATTATCATCACTAATATGATCATATTTTTTATAATATGATTTCAAGTTCGACCAACAAATTTTAGTACGTTCACAACTATGATCAATATTCATTTATGTGGCATGAACGATGATAATTGTGCCAATTTAATTTGACACTTTCTAATTCGATATAATGCTACCCGGCCTAACTCAAGCTCCGGATACGGTCAGTAACTAAATCTAGACCCTTTCTTCAGAAAATTCATATCTAGGGTGGAGAATTAAAGTAATTTTTATTTTCATTTGTTTTCTTAATCGGCTCATATCTTTTTCGTTTTAACTTGGATTTTTTTTTTTTGCACAGATAAAACGAGTTCGTTGTGCTATACAAAAATGAGATACATTTTCAATATTTTTTAGGAAAAAAATTTCTTGTGTCTCGTTACCAACTGCATACCATATGGTATCTTCTTCGTTTTTAAGTCGTTTTTTAAAAAAAAATTCACAAAAGTAACGAGTTCATCATGATCTATTGGATCTACAAATTTTTGGGTGAACAAAATACATGACCAAAAAATATCACACAATACCACCCTGATACGAGGTGGTATCTTGTGGTACACTATGTTGAAAGTCGTAATGACAATTAGAATACTCCTGCTAGCATGTATTCAACCATCCTACAGTCTTGGTATGTTCATACCACCATGATACGCTTTTCATACCATATGGTAGTCTGGTAAAAAATAGCTCTTTTTTTGTTCAAAAAATAGATCAAATTGGATATCATTTTGAAGATCACAATTAATCTGATCTAACTGTAAAAAAAATTAAATTCCAACAACGAGAGAAAAATCGTTCGTCAAAATAGTTGGGCCTCTCAATCTCAAGTCAGGCCCTCACCCATTAAGTCATACCCAATATGGGTTCTGCAGCTCAAAACCAACTAGAATACCCTCCTTGATCTTGGGCCCAGCCCAACATCCATATATGACGAATAAGTTCCTGCTCCACAAAGATGCCGACGAGAAGAATCCAAAAAAACAAAAAGGACTACTGACTCCTCTGACTGGACTGGATTGGTTTATGTTGCACCTAGGCTATTCAAATGATTACTGTGGTAATAACCAAATCAATTTAGCCTAAATTTTATGGGTTAATTGCATGGTTGGTCACTGAAATTACAAAAAAGTTTAAGTTTGGTCACTCGAAATATTTAAATCCATTGATGGTACTTCAGTTTACAGAAACCGTTCACGTTTGGTCACTCTCCGTCCAACTCCGTTAATTTTGACTGATGTGGCAGTCAACTCTCAAAGTTGACCGTTAACTTAGTGACGTGGCAACTAAAAAATTATTAAAAAATAAAAAATAAACTTTTATATTTTCCACCTCATTATTACATTCATTAAAAAATAAAAAAATAAAAAACCTAATTTTTTTTCTACAAACCCCTGACCCAACCTCCACGTTGCGAAATCCGACCACCGTAGCAACACTCCCCACCACCACCACCACCAGCCGACTCCGACTCCTGCCCCATCCCCGTCCCCGACGCCGGCTTGCCATGGCAGCGGCCGCCGAAACTTCATCATCCAATTCCTTACCCATTCCGGGCCCGAATCCCCCCGGCGGCCGACGACACTTCGTGTTGGTCCACGAAGCTTGCTTCGGGGCGTGGTCGTGGTACAAGATGTTGCCGCTGCTCGCCTCCACCGGCCACAACGTCACCGCCATCGACCTGGCTGCTTCCAGCATCGACCCGTAACAGATTGACGCTGTTGGGACCTTTTCCCAGTACTCGCAGCCGCTCAGGGATTATCTGGCCTCTCTCCCGCCGGCGAAGAAGGTGGTCCTTGTCGCCCATAGCTTCGGCGGGCTTGCGGCTGCTCAAGCCATGGAAATTTTCCCCGTAGAATCTCTGTGGCGGTTTTCATTGCCGCATTCATGCCGGGGCCTTCCTACTCTGCCTCCACACTTTTCCAGGAGGTATTTTGTACATTAGTCATTACCAAAATTACATGGGAAAAAAGAAGACTACGTACAAACATGAACATGTGACCAGAAAACTGTACATTTACATTTACATTCTAATGTGTAATTAATTTCCATTCGTTTGCATTTTGAAGTATCTAAACCAGGAAGGCCCCAAACTGGACAACCATTTCGTGTATGAGAATGGGGCTGAGTCAAGTGGATTTCGAGTGGGGAAAGCCGTCGTGGAAGGAGCAGCCGGTGTCGGGGACGGGGATGGGGCAGGAGTCGGAGTCTGGTGGTGGTGGTGGTGGAGAGTGTTGTTACGGTGGCCGGATTTTGCGACGGTGGTGGAGGTTGGGTCGGGTAGGGTATGTGGTTTGTAGAAAAGAAATGAGGTTTTTTATTTTTAATGAATGTAATAATGAGGTGGAAAATATAAAAGTTTATTTTTTTATTTTTTAATAATTTTTTAGTTGCCACGTCACTAAGTTAACGGTCAACTTTGAGAGTTGACTGCCACATCAGCCAAAGTTAACAGAGTTGGACGGAGAGTGACTAAACGTGAACGGTTTCAGTAAACTGAAGTACCACCAATGGATTTAAATATTTCGAGTGACCAAACTTAAACGTTTTTTGTAATCCCAGTGATCAACTATGCAATTAACCCAAATTTTATTAATCATGAAATAAAATGTATTAACCAAACCGTCCAAATTAACACGAAAACCAAATTAATCAATCCAAAGTTTAATTGGTTTGGTTAATCGGATTACCCAAATAACATAACATTACATGAAAACAATTATCCTGTTAATGAATAAAACGTAACCATATGGTATTACTATCGTAAACTATCATTATATATAAGAAATAATAATAAGACTAACCATCCATGATTATCATCATCATTCGAGTTAATACATCATTCATCATCCATGCACTTAATATAGAACATAAATATTAAATACATACCAATACCAAAGTATTGTAGTTGTCCAAAAATGTTTTGGTATACATAGTTTGAAGTGACTGTCATGGTATTGTACGTAATCCTAAAGTATTGTAGTTGTCCAAAATGTTTTGGTTTGGTAAATAGGCAGACCCATTTAATTTTTGACACATAATGCTTTGGTTTGTTGTGCACATGGAAATAAAGTAGGGAATCACGAAAGTTTGGTTTGGTTGGTTGCATGAAAGTATAGATAATTTTGTATATTAGGTGTATCATTAATTGGTTTCATTGGTTAGCAGTGTTGAAACCAAACCAAACCACCGAAACCAAATAAGGTAAATTGTTTAACCAAATCAGACCAATTATTCTAATTAACCAAATCAAATTAACCGAATGCTATCGGTTAATACCGTTACCACGGTAACCAATCCGTTAGAACACTCCTAGTTGCACCTTGCCTAAATAAAAAGAAAATCAAAATGAACCAAATAATGAAATAATGACGCGCAGCAAGAGCCCCACTCTGCAATTGAACTGCAGACTCTAGTCACATCTTTTGGATTCTTTCCCCAAAAACAAAAACGAAAACTGCAGATTTAATTCATCAGCAGCCACAAAAAAGATTGACTGAGGACAACAAGCGGTTTCATCAACACCGTATGGCTAATTGGCTACGCTTTCCTAGACCTACTAATCTACAAAAGTCCCGTGTACTATTATTAACCTGTCTTTTTTTTTTTTTTTTTACAAAAGGCATTGCTTTTCCATTAAATGCGGCTGAAGCCAGCTGACTACAGAAGATGAGAGATAACATCAAGGACCTGGACCCAGTGTATGGGAAGTACATTTTTTGCTCTTGATCTAGCAACCCAATTCGCTTTCGCGTTGTCCGCCCGTTTGATGTGGGAGAGCTTGATCCAAGGGTGATCATCGAGCGCTTTCTTGATGCATCCAATCCACGCTGCTGCTCGCCCTGGCCAAGGCTTCTGGTGCCCTTGCACAGCACTGATGAGGGTGAGACAGTCCGATCGGACCAAGCAAGGACCGTGGAGGATGGTGGCCAGGAGAGTTCCTTTCCACAAAGCTTTCGCTTCTGCTTCAATAGGTGAAAAACAATGCAGGGGTTCAGCTACCCCGTCACATACTTGTCCATGGGCATTCGTGACAACGACGCCATAAGCCGCCTCTTGAGATGCTTCAAAGAAAGAACCATCACAGTGTATTTCAAACTCATGAATACTTGGCGGTGGAGTAGGATGATCCGGGGGTGGGGCTAACTGAATGGGTGGGGATGAAGATGGTGTTCTGGCAGGGCACGCGTCCCATTGCTGTGACTCAAGAACAGCCCTAGAACTGGTGGACGGTGGCCAAGGGATCTTGCCCCTGAATATGAACTCGTTTCTCGTCTTCCATGTCTGCCACATAAGGAAGATAACCTTTTGGACTAGGCAAATGGAATACCTGGCCTGAAGTGAGAAGAGCCAATCCAGGATAGGGGTATTCAAGGGGTCATGACCAGCGAGGGCCAGTCCTGGAGCCATCCAGCTGCCGCGTGAGGGCAGGAGAAGAGGGTGTGATGGACCGATTCTGTAGCTTCCGCACAAATGGGGCAAGCCTTTGTCACAGAACAGCTTCGAGAGAAGAGATTTCCCTTCGTTGCCAGGGCCCCTCTTGTGCATTTCCACACAAAGAACTTCAGTTTGGGAGGCAGGGAGAGGCTCCATAGCCACTTCCATCTTTCTTTGCTAGATGTGTCTGTTGAATGGTTAGCCTGTTCCAGTCGAAACAAGTTGTGGAAGAGGTGGTAGGCTGACTTCACAGTGAACTCTCCACTGTCCGTGATCTCCAAGCCCAAATGTCCTCTAGTGATTCAGGGCCAATGGGGGTGGTAGCCACCTATTTGAGATCCAGTGGGCTAAGATAATCTGCAAGGAGGTCGAATCTCCAAGCTCTGTTAATCCCATCAATCCATTGATCCACAGTAGACTCATCAGGCCAGTCAAACTCGAGCAATTGACCCGGTCGATCAAATCTCCACGGGTCTTGGAACATCCTTGTCGATTTACCATTACCAATCACCTTAATGATTCCCTGTTTCATCCATTTCTTAGCCTCCCAAAGGCTGGACCAGATCCAGGATGCCTTTCCACCTTTTTTTGCGGATAAGAAGTCAGACTTGGGAAAATAGATGCTTTTCAAGACCCTCACCCACAGGGTGTCAGGGTTGGTGATGGCTCTCCATGCCTGCTTTGCCAGCAATGCAAGATTGACCGTGTGGAAGGGGCGGAAGCCGAGTCCTCCTTCATCCTTTGGGGCATACAGCACGTGGCCTGCTCTCCAGTGGATAGTTTTCTTTGACAGTAATTTGCTCCAGAAGAAGTTCTTGAGCATGGAATCCATCCTATTCGTTGATGTGCGTGGGAGCAAGAAAATGCACATAATGAAGGATGGTACCGCTTGGAACACTGCCTTGAGGAGCACCTCTTTGCCACCCGGGGAAAGAAGGAGACTCTTCCACGACTCCCCTCTGGCTTCCATTCGCAGCAGGAGGAACTGGAAAGTTTCCTTCTTGGATCGACCCCATTCAGTGGGGACTCCAAGATATTTGGAGTGGTTGTGGTCCGCCGTAAAACCAGAGCTTTGGATAATGAGCTCCTGTTCATCAGAGGGGACATTGGCGCTGAAGAACATGGAGGATTTTTCCCTGTTGACCTCCTGTCCCGTGATCGATCCATAGTCGTTGAGAATGCTTAAAATATTTTCTGCTTCCCTTACTGACGCTTTTCCAAAGATAACGGTGTCATCCGCGAAGAGGCAGTGAGTAAGAACAGGGCAGTCTCTGTTTAGCTTGATACCCTTGATGATCTGTCTTTGAGTAGCCTTTTCAATCATGAATGATAGTGCATTAGACATCAAGATGAAGAGGAGGGGGGACAGGTGACGAATGCCTCACGAGGGAAGGAACTCGGTCGAAGGGGCTCCATTGAATAGAAGCCTGAACTTCACTGTCGAGATACAGGCTCGGACCCATCCGCACCAGGTATCACTGAAACCATAAGCTTTGAGGAGGTTAATGAGGAAATCCCATTCCACCATATCGTAGGCCTTCCTCATGTCAAGCTTCAGTATCATTTCTTTGCTTTTTTTCGTTTTGTTCTACTTAAACTGGTTTAAGACTTCATGGACAATAATAATGTTGTCTTGGATTTGTCTCCCCCCTGTGAAAGCAGATTCAAGCTCATTTACTAGGTTTGGCAGCCATGGTTGCAGTCTAATGGTCATAATCTTCGTGATGACTTTGTAACGAAAATTGCAACATCTGATTGGTCTAAATTGGCAATCATCTCGGGTTGGTCAACCTTAGGAATCAGAGTGATGAAAGTATCATTCCAGCCCTCTTTCATGATTCCTGTCCTGAAAAACTCGATGACCTCTTTGTAGAAAGTATCCCCGAGGCAGGACCAGTATGTCCTAAAAAAGTGGCCTGGGAATCCATCGGGGCCCGGGGCCTTGTTTGCCCCGAGTTGGAATACAGCTTTGCGAACTTCCTCCTTTGTGATCTGAGCAGATAGGAGGCTGTTGACTTCTTCTGTAACCAAAACAGGGAACCCTGTCAACAGTGACTGGTCAAAATTCCATCTTCTACTCTCAAACAGAAATCTATAAAACTCGTTGACGTGATCATCCAACTCATCGGGTTTATCAATCCAGTTTCCATATGCATCTCTTAATTTAAGAATTTTGTTCCTGTGCTTCTTCGGATAGTGCTAGAATGGAAGAAACCAGTGTTCTGGTCCCCTTCCTGAAGCCATCCATTTCTTGACCTCTGGGCCCAGAAGGATTCTTCCGAGGTCCACCACTTGTCAAGCTCCCGAAGCAGACTACTTTCCTCCTCGACCATTTCCTGGGTCCTGATAGGACCTTGGAGCTCTTGTAATCTCTGTCTTAATTCTTTTTCTCTCTTCAGTTTATGTATCCTGTCCAGTTTTTCCCAGGCCAGTATGTTTCTTTGGCAATCATTCAAGATCCCTTGTACAGTTCCCCCGGAACCCCATCTATCAAGAATAATCCGCTTGCACTCTTCACCCTCCTTCCATCGCTTATCAAAGCGAAAAGGGGTGTAGGTTGATGGCTTGTAATGGTGGAGATCAATTCTGATCGGGCAGTGATCAGATTCCACAAAGTCTTCATGGAAGACCCTTGCTTTTTCAAAAGATCTGAGCCAACTAGAAGTGCAGAGAGCTCTATCGAGCCTTTCCCTGATTAAATCATCACCCTGCTGGTTGTTGGACCAAGTAAAAACCTCCACGGAGAACCCAAGATCAACTAGTCCATTACTGTCGATGAAATTTTTGAACAGGACTACATTCTCATTTCTAAGGGGGCAACGCCCCTGTTTCTCATAAGGGAAAAGAGCCACATTCAGATCATCAACAATGATTTGCTCCAGAAGAAGTTCTTGAGCATGGAATCCATCCTATTCGTTGATGTGCGTGGGAGCAAGAAAATGCACATAATGAAGGATGGTACCGCTTGGAACACTGCCTTGAGGAGCACCTCTTTGCCACCCGGGGAAAGAAGGAGACTCTTCCACGACTCCCCTCTGGCTTCCATTCGCAGCAGGAGGAACTGGAAAGTTTCCTTCTTGGATCGACCCCATTCAGTGGGGACTCCAAGATATTTGGAGTGGTTGTGGTCCGCCGTAAAACCAGAGCTTTGGATAATGAGCTCCTGTTCATCAGAGGGGACATTGGCGCTGAAGAACATGGAGGATTTTTCCCTGTTGACCTCCTGTCCCGTGATCGATCCATAGTCGTTGAGAATGCTTAAAATATTTTCTGCTTCCCTTACTGACGCTTTTCCAAAGATAACGGTGTCATCCGCGAAGAGGCAGTGAGTAAGAACAGGGCAGTCTCTGTTTAGCTTGATACCCTTGATGATCTGTCTTTGAGTAGCCTTTTCAATCATGAATGATAGTGCATTAGACATCAAGATGAAGAGGAGGGGGGACAGGTGACGAATGCCTCACGAGGGAAGGAACTCGGTCGAAGGGGCTCCATTGAATAGAAGCCTGAACTTCACTGTCGAGATACAGGCTCGGACCCATCCGCACCAGGTATCACTGAAACCATAAGCTTTGAGGAGGTTAATGAGGAAATCCCATTCCACCATATCGTAGGCCTTCCTCATGTCAAGCTTCAGTATCATTTCTTTGCTTTTTTTCGTTTTGTTCTACTTAAACTGGTTTAAGACTTCATGGACAATAATAATGTTGTCTTGGATTTGTCTCCCCCCTGTGAAAGCAGATTCAAGCTCATTTACTAGGTTTGGCAGCCATGGTTGCAGTCTAATGGTCATAATCTTCGTGATGACTTTGTAACGAAAATTGCAACATCTGATTGGTCTAAATTGGCAATCATCTCGGGTTGGTCAACCTTAGGAATCAGAGTGATGAAAGTATCATTCCAGCCCTCTTTCATGATTCCTGTCCTGAAAAACTCGATGACCTCTTTGTAGAAAGTATCCCCGAGGCAGGACCAGTATGTCCTAAAAAAGTGGCCTGGGAATCCATCGGGGCCCGGGGCCTTGTTTGCCCCGAGTTGGAATACAGCTTTGCGAACTTCCTCCTTTGTGATCTGAGCAGATAGGAGGCTGTTGACTTCTTCTGTAACCAAAACAGGGAACCCTGTCAACAGTGACTGGTCAAAATTCCATCTTCTACTCTCAAACAGAAATCTATAAAACTCGTTGACGTGATCATCCAACTCATCGGGTTTATCAATCCAGTTTCCATATGCATCTCTTAATTTAAGAATTTTGTTCCTGTGCTTCTTCGGATAGTGCTAGAATGGAAGAAACCAGTGTTCTGGTCCCCTTCCTGAAGCCATCCATTTCTTGACCTCTGGGCCCAGAAGGATTCTTCCGAGGTCCACCACTTGTCAAGCTCCCGAAGCAGACTACTTTCCTCCTCGACCATTTCCTGGGTCCTGATAGGACCTTGGAGCTCTTGTAATCTCTGTCTTAATTCTTTTTCTCTCTTCAGTTTATGTATCCTGTCCAGTTTTTCCCAGGCCAGTATGTTTCTTTGGCAATCATTCAAGATCCCTTGTACAGTTCCCCCGGAACCCATCTATCAAGAATAATCCGCTTGCACTCTTCACCCTCCTTCCATCGCTTATCAAAGCGAAAAGGGGTGTAGGTTGATGGCTTGTAATGGTGGAGATCAATTCTGATCGGGCAGTGATCAGATTCCACAAAGTCTTCATGGAAGACCCTTGCTTTTTCAAAAGATCTGAGCCAACTAGAAGTGCAGAGAGCTCTATCGAGCCTTTCCCTGATTAAATCATCACCCTGCTGGTTGTTGGACCAAGTAAAAACCTCCACGGAGAACCCAAGATCAACTAGTCCATTACTGTCGATGAAATTTTTGAACAGGACTACATTCTCATTTCTAAGGGGGCAACGCCCCTGTTTCTCATAAGGGAAAAGAGCCACATTCAGATCATCAACAATGAGCCAAGACTCGTCTGGAGTCTCCCTCGGGATCGTAAGTCGATCCCACAATGTCCTTCTCTCTACCGCCGTGGCAGGAGCATGGACCAAGGTACAAAAGAAAACCACTCCATTCTAACTAACGCTAATGTCCATAAAGGACTTACACCTATCAATCACACACACTTCAACATCGTCTTTCCACCAAACAGCTAAACCACTACCTCCACTTGCTGGATTAACATATTCTCCATGGTCAAACCTCATCACTCTCCTCTTATCTTCCATGAATGATTCATCTTTCTTCGTTTCCATGAGGAAGAGAATTGAGGGGCCAAATTGACGGCAAAGCCTGCCGCAGTAGCTTCTTGTAAGGGACTGGCCGAATCCCCTACAATTCCAGCTTAAAATTCTCATTCATTGTTTGGCGGCTTGAGGCCTGCCGCCGGCGCCCTCGGAGTGGATGATTCCCCCTCTTCGGATTGGCTCCCATCTGCTGTAATATCTGCAAGGCTCTTCCTTCTGATAATGCTCCTCCTCCTCTGGTATGTCTTTCTGCTTTCTACTGGGGCAAAAGAAAGAGAGTCAAAAGACAGGTTAGAGATAGGGTCTTGTGTTGGCAGTGAGATGCACGTTGGGCTCATGTGCTCTGGTTTCCTCTTCTTCTCGGGCCTCATTCTTCCTTCTTCTGCTTGTGGAGCCGTCGCTGTTTCGGACATAGGGATCACATTCTGGGTCTGAGTGGTGATAACATGGGCCTGGTCATTCACCGTGGCCGGGGTGATAGTTGGGTCCGCGAGCGTGTAGGTCGGGCTCGCAAGAGACAGGCCATCTTCTCTTCTGGTAGCTTCTTCTCCTCCTTGGTCCACTAGTTACCTTTTCTCACCTGCAAGGCTGCAACTTTTGACCGTTTCCCCTCATCCATTCATCTTTTTTACCACCAGCTTCTTCAACCGGCCCTCTTGCAATGTACCAAACCCGATTTTCCCAGTCTCGAAACCACCTTTCCTCCTTTCTTCACTCTCTTGCTCCACGTGCTTTTTACTATACTTCCTTCCCCATTTCAACATTCACCTCCAGCCTCCCTCCTTCAAAGTTCAAACCAAACACAAAAGTTTGAATTGGCCTTTCTCATCTCGTTACAGTTGTAGCAAAGACATTTCTCACTCGGGATAATGAAAGCAGCATTTCATTTACCACGTTCTGGAACAACAGAAAGAGCTAGTCAGACATTATGGGGGGGAGAAAAAGGTTCAGAAGCTTCACAATGCTTCTTCTCAACCTTTCCAACACCACATGCACATAGCAGTCAAATTACACTCGGATCATATTCAACGCCCATAAAAATGTCTCCAGATATTATGTCTTCCTTTCTAGAATATAGCTTAGCAAAACAACATCAGTAGTTATCTATTTACTACAGTACTCTTACACAAAAAGCTCCTCGATACGAAACAAAACGGACTCCTGCTCTTACATTTGCCTTATGCATGTCCAACCTGACTTGGTGACTTCTTTCCTTCTTTCACCTCCCATTCAAACTCCACTGCAAGTAAACAAAAATCTCACATTACAAACAGAAATCGACATCGTGAATACATAAAAGCACCTATTAGTTGCGGGAACCAATCATTTGATTATAACAAGATGCTTAATAACTTACAACATGGTAGTCTTTATTTACAACAGCGGAGCAGAATGTCCCTTCTCAATAAGCTCCTCCAACCATGTTGGAGAGGTCATCAAAGCTCCACATGCCCATTGTGTTCCCGTCATCCTGCGTTGTTGTTGTAGTAATGTTGTCTCCATTAAGTATATTCTCAAGGGAAGCCTCCCAGCCTCCTTCCATATACGGCATCTGAAGATACTTATCAAACCCAAACAGCTCCTCTCCCTCAGATGACTTCCCATTGTTCTCCTCTTGGGGAGGGATATCAGCACCACCAGAGTTGTTGCACTTCTGTTTCTTGCTGGGATTAGCATCCTCCTCTCCGAATGCAGATTCATTGAATTCAGGCCCAGCTAGAAACACAGACGAGATCTCGGGTGTCCTTGGACCGTCCTGTTCTGCCCATCCAAAATCAGAAAGATCGAAAGAATTGCTCCCTTGATCGGAACTGAAGTACATAGGAGCACTAGCATCAACAGTAGAGTTTACTCCAGCATCTCCATTTGAGGGCAAGGTGTTCATCATCCCGAGCTGGTTCAGAGATGGTTTCTCTTCCACATAGCTCATAGAGTTGAAGAACTCTTGCTCAGCATAGTCCGAGTAAATGGCATCTGATTTCGGGGTTGCCTTGGGAACTGGTTTCTGAGCTTTGGTCTTTGTGGAGAGCTTAGGTGTAGCAGCACGTGGAGCAGCTTCATCGGGGAAGTTCACCTTAGCTTTCTTGCCGCGGATTCTACGAGCCTCAGCATCATAAGCTCTGGCAGCTTCTTCAGCAGTGTTGAATGTTCCTAGCCAGACACGAACTCCTTTCCTGGGATCACGAATCTCTGCAGCCCATTTCCCCCAAGGACGCTGTCTGATCCCCCTGAACTTGTTTTTCCTCTTTCTCTTTGCAGATCTCTCAGCCTGTCCACTGAATTCCGCAGATTTCACAGCTGCAGAACCTTCAGCAATATCGAGAACACAAAAAACATGAATCTATCAGTTAAAATCAAAAGAAACATCTTTGCAATTTGGCACTTCACGAATTAGTTTAAGCTATCAGCATGCGCACAATCTAACAGACAGCAAGAGGGATGCCAGAATAGCAAAGAATCTGTCCAGCATGATATACCCAATACTTCAGCTGAACAAGTCAACTACTAGTTAATATACTACAATAATACCCCAACTGAGTTTCTATCCTAATAGTAATATCAAATATGCATAAAGCAGGGATCCAATCTGCAATGATTTAATACTAAGTTCCGATGATTAAGGCTGCATACATCCAGGAGATTGAAAGATGTAGCGTAACTTTTGCTATGAGAAATTCCTTAGACATCAAAACTGTAAGGCTTCTACACTAAGCTATGGTAACTATTTTCACTACAGTTGCAAAAGAGAAGAAAGCAAAAAGGAAGAAACTTTTATCTGAGATCGTGAAACTGCAGATACCATGCTCTTCCCCCCAATAGCACCCAGAAAAAAGGGAGTGAAAAAAGGAAAAGACGACAAGTAAGAAGCTTTCGATTCAGCCGTATCACCAACAGAAAGCTTTTAATACAAGCCTGCAATCCCCAACAGAAAGCTGGAAACTTTATCATAAAGCAAATTAACAACTTATGCAACACCAAAAACCCAGAACTCCAATTAGCCACCTCATAAACACAATCCAAACATTTCCACCCTAAACCAAACTTTGGATTAACTCGATTAGATGCGTAGAAATTAAGCCCAAAAATCCCGGGGAAAAAGGTGTATCAGATTAATTACCGCGCGAATCGGCGGAGTTACGAGGTGGGGGAGGAGGTGCGGCAGAGAAAGCAAAGGGCTTGACGTCGGCAAATACATCAACATCACAGTCGACCTCATCGACATCGGAATCGTCCTTGAATCCCTGGAAACCGGCCTCGAAATCTTCCTCGAGATCTATGACGACGGGCTTGGAGTAGGGCTTGCGGCTGTTGACTGACTTGGACTTGAGATCGGGCCAGAGGAAGTCGGCGGTGAGCTTCCTGGAGAAGGAGCGGCCACCGCCAACGGTGGGAGGTATGAAGTCGGAGATGATAGCACCGCCACACATGGTGGGTTTTGTTGCCGGCGAGAAATGGAGGTGGTTTTGTTGCTAGGTTTTTCAGGTGGGATGAGGGATTGAATGAATACTGGAACTGGAATCTGTTGTTGGGTTCTTTCAGAGAGAGAGAGAGAGAGAGAAAGAGAGAGAGGTGTGATTAATTTGTTTTGGCTTTGTTTGTTGTTGATGGAAGGAAGAGTGGGTTTGGTTTATTTGTTTGAGACGCTGCTGCTGCCGCCGCGGTTGGTGGTGAGTAAGTAACACGTTAATGGAAGGGAGGCAAGTTGCTGGATTGGGTTATGCGATGAAGAAGAACGACAAAAGTGAGGGGAAGTGAGTCAAGTGACCATCCTGGCCCTCCTCCTTCACACTTTTTTTTTTCTTTTTTATTTTGGTAAAGACTTTTTTTTTTATTCGTTGCTTGTTATGATGAAGTTTCATTGTTAAATGCAACTGAGGTTTAAAGTTAGTGGTGACTATACGGTAGGGATGGCAACAATACCCGAACCCACGGGTATCCATCTGACCCAACCTGGTTAATGCGGGTAAAATCCGTGTTGATGGGTTTTGGGTCGGGTTCGGGTTTAAACCTGCTACACTATTCATTGGGTCGGGTTGGATTTGGGTTTAGGTAAACCCGCCTCATGGGTACCCGCCCACACACATATAATTATTTTCCCGTTTATTTAATATTATAAATAATATATCTTCCTTAAACAACTAATATTCTTTATGTCTTTGGAGACATGTATAATTTGTTCTTTCTAATTATTTAGAATGAAGTTGATATTAGAAGTGAAGAGTGAAGAAATTAGTTGACGAGGAAGAACCTTTCAATTAATATGATTGTTTATAGATGTTTATCTTTAATTTTAAACAATTTGTATTGATCATTTGCGGTTTGCTTGTATGCTCTAGATTGATGTTTTTTGTATGATTAATTTGTATGAGAAAATTGATGCTAAACTTTTATTTTGCAAGATACTTGTTATTGTAAATATTTTATCACAAAAACCCACGGGTACCCATGAAACCGCGGATACCCAGCGGGTTGGGTTTGAGTTTTTCAAACCCAACGGGTTTTACCCCGAGTTTTTTTGGCTGATAAACTCATGGGTTTGGGTTTGGGTTTGACAAAACCCGCACTAACCCGACCCATTGCCATCCCTACTATACGGTCCGATCCGGTTAAATTAGTTCAAATTGATTTAGTTTTGGTCTGGTATTTTCGAGAATATAATGACTAAATATTTGATTGGATTTGATTGGATTGAGTTTGGTCTTGACTCGGTCTGCTCCCAATTCAGTTTTGATTTTAGATTGACCTTGTGGGGATTTGAATGACATGAGTCCGGTCCCGATTCGATCTCGGTCCGATTTATACGGTCCGGTTTTGAGTAAAATCAAAAATCCTGGACCAAATAGTCACCCTTGTTTAAAGTTAGGGATGTCAAGTTGCCAACAGTTTAGGTTAGGGCGGATAGTGCTACTCAAAGTAATTTGGATATTATCTATATTTATACTCTAAGACATAAGAATCGTGTAGAAAATCAAAATCATGTCCATACTCGTTTGATTTCAGGTGTTCACGATTCTTCATGGATAATAATTTCTCTTCGTAACTCCAATCAACATGTTAACATTCACATTTATACTCTTATAACATTAGTGAAAGAGTACAACAATAATGCACTTTGAATGAATAAAATTAATTTCAAGCAACAAACTTAAGCGGGGGCGTATTAATTATTACAGACTTCATTCTTAACAACCACACTAACCGTACGTCGTCATCTTCTATTCTTCATCATGAGGGTAATAACTAATAACAACGATCTTAATGAATAGGTCGGCGGCGTGGTGGATGCTAATCCATCTCATTGTGTCTTTGCAGCTTTCCGCTGCCTATCCATCTCATGGTGTCTTGCTTGTAGACTTGCTTTCTTGTAATAAGGAATACATTTTGCGGTGTAAATGTTTATGCGTTAGATCATTGGAACTCGATGTGGCAATTAGGTATCCAAATCTATTAATTCAATCCATTTACCAAACTATTCATCTAATTCAATCCATTTGATCCAAATTCAATTGGATTGATCCATGAATTCAATTGACAAATTACAATTTGGTACCTATGTATTTTATACTTTACATATTTTTATCTAAAATTTATATTGCTGCAGACGCCTTTCTTAGGAGCGAACTTGATGCTCTGCAGAAATAGCACGGTTGCAGCAGCAGAATCTGATCATCATCTGACTTGTATGTGACACACTCTTAGCAAGTGGCTTAGCCGAATTTTGAGTTTATTGGGGTGCTTAAAAATTTACTAATACTAAACCATGTGTATTTAATGAACTTTTTAGTTGATTGGAATACTTAGGTGAGCTAACATCAACAAGAGTACGGAGTCCCAAACGTATTTAAAAAATTATGTTGCCAAATTATTTGCCGAGTGGGGTCCTAGGACCCCACTCCTCACCACCTCCCTCCGCCATTGCTCTTAGCCCTTAGGCATGTTAAATGAGCAGCATTCATTTGATACTCGATCGATCGGCTTGCTTAATAACAAGTTGAGTTTGAGTGAGTTCTTATTCAATACAAGAGGTTCATGAGCCAGTATAGTTTGGTGGTTTGTTGAGTTAAACTCATGGGTTTATTTAAAAGTTTATCTAGAAACCCAGCTCGATTAGCAATTTATAATGAAATTAATTTATCACTTTTGAGTTTGTTTGTTGATAATTCGTGGGTTTCTTAGAGTCGAACTGAAATAATTTCAGTAAACTCAACTCCATTATTACCGAGATAAACTTAACATAGGTTGTACTCATTTGCAAGCCTAATTATTTCCAAAGCAAATGTTTTTAGTTTTTATTTATGCATTTTATTACTACGACAACTCGATCGTTAAGCCAAAAGCAAAATGTACCTCTCTTTCCATCACAGAATCACTGCACAAACTTGAATATTATTAATGTGCTTGCATTTTCTTACTTTGTAAGACATCACATCATTAATAGTAATTAGTAACACGTTTTTAACAATATTTTTCAATCTGTCCCTTTCCATTTGATACCCCACTTCGGAAATAAGTGAATAACACGCCGGACGAGATTCAAGAAGTCATTTAATTTAGCACAAGTGATTAGGTTCCCTTATTATAATTAAAAGTTGAGCAGAACATCACCCTGATTAGTAAATACATCATTTGAAACGAGTTCATTGCAATTTACAAAATGAACTTCATCCTTTCTTCTCAAACAATTACGTTTTGAATTGAACCAAGCTCAATCTCAGCAAACCTAGGAAGCATTGGAAGACCATATAAAAGTAAGACTAACATTATTGTCCTTCATCTCATTCCCACGCTTCCTCCAATCACAATTCACATCCAGCCATTCCATGAATCACAAAATTTCCTTCCTATGCAGACCGTCAAAATATTCAGAAGGCGAAAGAACTACCTCCCTCCAAGTTCCAACTTCAGTCACCTCCCGCTATTCATAGCTTTTTATCAGTAAGAATCCAGAGTAAGCAGCACTGCAGCACTTCTTTTTAACACATTTCATCAGCCACTTACAAGCAGAACAGTACCAAAATCATCAACCACTTACAAGTACAGCTGAATCAGTTCATCACTGACTACAGATGGCGTCAGCACACCGAGGTCGGTGAACAACAGAGTAAGATACTGAGGTGGCGTATAATCCCGAGCAGATGTTTCAACCTCTACCTTCAATGGGATCGGAACTCCAAACTCTATGGGGCGTAATGCAGGACCCATGTCCTTCTGGTCTAGGGGATACAGACGAGCAAACTGCAAAAGCCAACATAATTATAAAGAGCATAACTATCACAAACGAAAGACAAGTTGTTTGAAAAATATCCAAATAAGCAAGTTAAAGCACGCAGGGGAGTAACAAGAAATTACCTTGTAGCTTTCAGCTGCCACGTAAACAGGTTTGTTCATGCTGTGTGCCACGAGGGCAATCTGATACGTCCCCATCATGTTGATTATACCTCCACTTTCCACCACCCCATCTGCTCCCACAAACACCATGTCCACCTCGTCCATGGAGTACGCTACAGCAGAGTCTATAAGGAGCTTCACTGGGACATCAAGCTTGGCTAGCTCATTAGATAACCTTAAACCTGTTCTGTCCGGTCTTCCCTCTACAGTTTGACGCATAGAAATGCCAGTGGACGACAAGAAGAAGAAAGCAGAAGAGGACATGGCAATAGTCAGACAGTCAAAAGTTGAATTGCCAAATGACAGAGTGATAACATCCATTTTACAACTGACAAGACAAGGGCAAGAGCTATTTAATATCTCTAATGCAAAGTTCAGCACATGAAATTACATAACAGGTAGTGGCAATGATCAAAGAGACTATGAGAGTGACAGGCACAACTGCTGCAAGGTAAGAGCTGCTTAAATTTTCACACACAGGGCAACAATCTCCAAGAACGTGCAGCAGGAAGTTTCAAGCATACCTGTGCAGAAAACTCGAAAAAGTTTTTTATTTTGAGCTGCCATCTTCAGAACTTCCAACACAACTCTGGAGAAGCCATGTACCAAGATTGTACAACCATCAAAGATGAAATCTTGGCTAAGCATCGCAATGATTTTACGTGCCTGCACACAAATCAACCAGTGTCTTTAATGTGAATACCGATTAGAGATATGTAAAAAGAAATTACTGGATTACTACTCAGAGCTGGATTGGCTACCTTGTAGGATATCTCTCCAAACTTCTCAGCACGTTCAATCAAGCGGGTTTTAGCCGAATTGAAGTCCTCGTATTCCAAGGCTGAAGTTCTGGTTACATATCGCATGAACAGATCACATCCTGCAGTTAAAGAGATTGATGTCGTGTCCCATGACTGGACACCCAATTTTTAGTCAGTGATCATGCTAAAAGAAGCAATCACTCATGTGTACTAAGGTTATTTCTGTCTGCATTAAACTTGGCTAGTGACAACTTGATGTCGATATTATCCATAGCAAACAAGCAACATTTGATCAGATAAGGAGACCATAGATTGAATCCCATAGCAGAGAAGCATGTAATCAGAGACATGATGAACTAAAAACCTCGGGCATTTTGCAGTCGAAGCAAGAAAACTCATGGCAACAGACAACTTGAAGCATTGCCACACAAGATCTCCAGGATTTAAGACACATTTGGTTCACCTATTTCACCTCCATCAACAACCAAAATACGAACTATACAGTTCATCTACCAGAGTATATAATCCATCCAGGAGCAAAAGCAAACACATAGTCAACCATCCACGTTGAGATGATTGCAGCATTGAATGGAATCCAAGGGTTCAAGAATCAGCCATCCCCATTTACCACCTTCTCCAGTAAAATTTGACGTTGGCATATCACGAAGTGTATGCTAAGCAAAACCAGGATGTCAATTAAGAGTCGCTGAGCGTAAAGTCATTTCTTCTTAAACTGTTAGTTTGGTTCTTGAATGTTTTATAAGTCCTAGCTTCAAGACATGCAGAATTGCAGAGCGCCAAGCTGATTCGGAGAAAGTTTAAGTCAGCAAGAAATTGGAAGGAACTAACCTTGAGGGAGTCGGAGGCTTTCTTGAGCTCAATCTCGAGCTCCATCATGGTCGTAGCCTGGCTATTCCGAATGACGGCGGCTAGAGCCCTGATAGCAGCGACGGCCTCGGCCAAGTCGGGCTGCTTGCGCCAGTTGTTGAACTCGTCGATGACGCTGAAGAGCTTGCCAGAAGGAGCTCCCTGGTCGCTATTAGCGGCATCGTCGGGGATGTGGCCGACGGCGGCCTGAGCCTGGGCGAGCCAGTCGCTGGAGACGACGCCGTGGTGGGCGGCGCGGGTCTGGTAGTAGGCGGAGATTTTGTCGGTGAGGGGATTGGGGTTAGGGTTAGGATCCGCCATGGCAGTGGACGGAGGTGGCGGAATGGAGAGGGCGCCGCCTCGAGCGGTGCCGTATGGCTGTGCCTGCTGCCGATTGTCGAGGATGAAAGACGGCGATCTCCACCACATGGCGCGCGTAGTTTGCTCCTTCATTTTTTTTTTTTTTTATTGTACGGCGACAGCACTTGATCTTGATGGCGATGGGATTAGTGGCCGTAAGAATTGAGAGGGTGGTGTGGTTACTACTACTAAGACGGAAGCTAATACAAGTGCAATTATACGGCTTTATGTTTGCATTTCCCTTTCCATTTTAGGGTTTTTATACTGGATTATTAGGGATATTTTAGACATTTGCGTCGCCCAAATAAAAGTTCGTTTGTGGTTAATTGTTTTTTTATGAAAATTTTAACAGAACGGCATGTTTGATAATTTTTACAAATTACAGAGGTATGTTTAATAAAACAACATATATTGTTTGTATACCATTATCGGGGCACTCATTGAGACCAAAATGTCTTCTTTAGCAACAAATCTTACGGGGTCGTTTGGATTGAGTATTTGATAAACTTGTTGTTTGGGGCCAATTACCACACAAATACCACATAATATAAAACTTGTTATTTGGTATGTGATATTTGGTCTCAAACTTGTTATTTGGGAAATACCTGCCCCCTCCCAAGTATTTGGCAAACAACACTTTTTGTGTTATTTGGTCTCAAACCTGTTATTTGGCAAAACACTACATCCAAATAACACATCCCACTTTTTGTCAGCCAAACATGTTATTTGGGGTTAAATAACAGATTTTGTGTTATTTGACCTCAAATAACACCCCCAAATACTCAATCCAAACGACCCCTTTGTGTTATTTGGTCTCAAACCTGTTATTTGGCAAAACACTACATCCAAATAACACATCCCACTTTTTGTCAGCCAAACATGTTATTTGGGGTTAAATAACAGATTTTGTGTTATTTGACCTCAAATAACACCCCCAAATACTCAATCCAAACGACCCCTACAACACATCACCTAATTTACTAACTTATCTACCAAATCAAAAGAGGCGCGAGACCATAAAATTTTATCTCATATTTCATTGCAAAAGTTTATCTATATCTCGTACACTAAGCATATATCGCGACTACAAAGTAGAACATCAATGATGTAAGAAAACAGGTGAATATACTCCCGTTAAACTTAAGAATAAACAATCATCAATAGTACTCTCTAAACCGAATGAGCGAATAACTTGATGATATTTGTGATATCATTAACGATAAGCCAATGTGAGACAAAAATGGATTCATTGATTTGCAAACCATAAACTTTAGATTGTCTAAAGCAAAAATTTATGGTTGAACCATGTAAATCATCTCACAAATGTTTTCGTTGAGAAACATAGTCCCTACATCCATCTCATCTAGCTCTTAGTCAAAATTAAAAATCCAATCCCTTCCTACGGGTTGAAGAGTCTAATGTTTGCATGATAGATTTGATGATGGATTTGTGAAATAAGGGGTCGTTTGCTTCAAGGATTTGGTACATGGATTTGGTACAAAAAAACTAACTATCAAGGATTTAGGTACAATCCGTTGTTTGTTTGCACCTTTTTTGGAGACCAAATCCGTGGGACCCACAGATTTTAATGGTCCAAATCCGTGGACCCCACGGACTTATAAATCCCACATGTTGATGTGGGATTTGGAATATGGCATAAATCCTTGATGAGATTTTACCCATATACCCTCATGCACTTTTAATATTCCAAGGTTGCCCTCAAATTTAACTATTATACATTATAATTAACAATAAATGAATAATATAAACGTTCAATTAATGTGCAAACATGAGTTAGATTTTTTATATCATTTCTTGTGTTCTAGTTTTCTTTGACCTTTTCATGGAACGTGTAATTCTTTGTTCTCCCGATTCTAATATATGTTGTTATATGTCAGTTTTGAAAAGGAGGACAAAGAATTGGTAATTGATTATGTTACGTTAAAAGTTAAAACAGAATTTTCTCGTTTATTATTATTGTCCATGTGGCAACATTATGCTTATTAGTATGTATTGTCCTTGTTTTGTGTACATATCATAAACATGTCAAACATATAGAAAATGATAGTAAGGTAATTTTGAAGTTTTGTCCTTGTTTTGTGTACATATCATAAACATGTCAAACGTATAGAAAAGGGTAGTAATGTAATTTTTGAATTCAAGTAGTAAATCCCACACCTTTAAATCCATGATAAAAACATCCCAACAAACAAAGGATTGTTACAAATCCATGATGCCTCAAATACTTGATAAATCCTTGGGTTTTTAAATTACAAAACCCTCATTTTTAAATCCATGAAGCAAACAACCCCTAAATAACTAACCATCAAGGATTTGCAAATCCCAAATCAATATATGGGATTTACAAGTCCGTGGGTCCACGAATTTGGTTCCAAAATAAAGACTAAATTCGTGGACCCCACGGATTTAGCACCCTTCAACAAACAATGGACTTATGTTAAATCCATCAAACTTGGGATTTGGGTACCAAATCCATGACCCAAATCCAACAAGCAAACGACCCCTAAATATCTCATTTTGAATCCCCATCCTCCATTAATATATGGTAGAGTTTTGTGTATTTTTCTCCATTTCAAATTTCCTGCAATGAGAGTGAAAGTAGGAAGGTCATTTTTGTCTTTACACATTTATTATTTATTTCATATAAAAACAGCAATATCAAGATTTGAACCCGGGTCTCTTCAAACAAAGATAACAATTACAACCAGTTACACTAAACAAATTTATTGTATCCTTTTTGATACAAAACATAGACAAAGTTAATCTCTGAAAATCAGAGGACTTTTTCATCATAATTAGCAAGCTCACTAAGTCTACCGTATGCATTTTTATCGAGCTTGATACTTCTATTTTTATAGTAGAGTTTCATGTAATTTTCTCAATTTTAAATTCCCGCTCTCTCCTTAATTTTTGCTAAAGGTAAATGGGTAATTGGCTAACATGGAAGAAACTAATTATGTAACTACGTGTTGTATCCTTGCATTTTTCAATTTAAATTTAAATTTTGTGATTTTTTATCTTTGTACTTTTCTCTTTCTAACTTCCTCCGAAATTTTATCCTTCGTGCAATATTTTGCGCCTTTCACTTCCCAGTACAAGACTGTCATTGAAAATCAATCTTCAGGTATCTCTTGGCACCACAGTTTTATTGTTGGGGATTTTAAGCTAGGCGAGTAGAAGTTTTGAACTGCGATATCAATCCTTGGTGAATAGAATGGAGTTCATCAATAACTGGAGTTGTAGAAGGAGGATTAGAAATTGAATTTTTGGTTGAATATATGCCTCTTGAGATAGAAATTTGGTTGTACAACGGAGAGTGGTGGCTATTGGATCTTTAGGTTTATGGTTTTTACAATTGTCACAACCTATTTTTATCTTAAAACGAGGAATCATTGATTGATTGTTTGAAATAGGTCGCTTTTTTATTCAACCTACTGGAACTAATAGATAAGGAGTGTCTAATTTTGCGCCTTATTACTTTGATCGAGTCTATTCGTATATTGGAGATAACCCTGATTTTTTCGTTTGCTCTCAAGTTGTGATGGTCCCCTCTTAGCTGAGTTTTTAGTATATAGATGACTTGAATTAACAACTCTCCATTTCTTTTTGATTTGTGACATATTGTTTCTAAAAGCATAGCATTGAACCCTTTATATAGGATTGTGAGGTTTAAGATTTAGTTTCAAACTATCTATTGGTCGTGTGAGAATTTCAGTGAGCTTTTATACTCTATATTTCTTGACTGTAAAATAAAACTAACCAATAGCATTTTAACAGAGACTTAATTAGCATTATGAAAATGGGGTCAATGATACATTTTTCTATTTTATATTCTTAAATGATTATGATATTTCTCCGAATGTTCGGCCTATATATTATTTCTTTACGTATCATCTCGATCGAATGATTATCAATAAGATTAAACGGGTTAAGAGACTTAAAAGTAACAAAAAATACAAATAATCAAATATGAGCATTCCGGCCAAAGGACCGGGTTATAAGCTAGTATGTCATAATATCTATTTATAACCAACTAGCATTGGGCCCGGCCCGTTGGCCGGGGTCCTACAAAACCTGTAACTTATGGTTATGATTAGCCAAATTTGTAGCTTAACACTATGTTTGGCAACAAGGGGGGTGCAAGTTCGAAGGGGGTACAAGTTGAGGGGTAAATTGTTGGGGGGTGCAACTTGGTGGAGGGTGTAAGTGGAGGGGTAAATTGTTGTTTGGATGAAAAAGTAGTGGGGTGCAAATAGAGTAAAAAGTAAGTAATTATATTATTATAAAATAGATTTATCAATTTATAAAGTATTATCACAAAATAATAACATGAAAATTCAATATATAATAATAAAAATAATAAATAAAAATAATTTTAATAAAAATAATTATTATATAATAATGCTCAAATATAATTATTTATAACAACAATAATAATCATTGGTCGAGCAACCTCGAAACTCGAAATCCAACTCGTAACTGGTCATCCTAAGGGGGTTCTCGTGCCTAACTTTAAATTGAATATGGTCAAACTTAGTCAAACACGTTCGAATCTGTAAGTTTTAACTACTTATTAAAGTAAATCGAGTTAACTAAACTGTTCCTCTCTATCTTTTCAACAAATGCTTCTTATCTCTAATTTTCAATGCAAATTCGGGTCAACTAAGAGATATCGATTTGACAAGGCGAACATTGACAAACTTGCTCTCTTAGTCAAACGGTCAACCCCAAACAACTTCTACACTAATATAGATATAAGAAAAAATTAATAATATTAATTATTATGTAATTATAATCTAATTCATAATTCCCCTCCTCCTCCTTCCCCCTCCCTTCCTTCCTTTCCTTGCACCCCAATTTGGGGGGTAAGCCGAAACAGTGAATTTACGCTCACGTTTTGCACCCCACTACTGTTACAAAATAACCAAACGGGGGTAAACACCTTGAAACTTGTGTTTACCCCTCCAAACTTGCACCCCCTTCCATTTGCACCCCTTCCCGAACATAGTGTAAGAGATTCTATTTCGTGGAAAACAACAAAATCTAATAGCATCCATTTGCTGATAAAAGCATCCATTTCGTGGATAACAACACTATGAGCTGATAAAAGCATCCATTTGAGTGTTCAATATGAATATGATGAAGCATATAATAATAACCAATAAATACTCGGTTAAAATTAATCCTAAAGTCCAATTCTTAAATTGCTCTAATAAAGACGACATAACAACATGCAAGAAAGTCAAATAAAAACAACAACAATCAAATTATAGAAAAAGAGCATTTCTATTATGCTATAAAGCATAGGTGCTTTAATGTACAATTTAAAGTTGTACCATAACGTAAAATGTACAAATTTGGGTTGTACCATAAATGAATTTATACCTTTATGTTATGGTACAACTTCACAACTTGAAGTTGTACCATCACATAAAGGTACAAGTTCAAGTTGTACCATAAAAGAATTTGTAAAATAGTATAGGTACAAGGTGAAGTTATACCATAACGTTAAATGTACAACTTGAAGTTGTACCATAAAAGTAAAAACCTATAGCACCAATACTATATAGCATTGTAAAATTTCTCTATACAAAAAATGCAGAAAACTTTCTCACCATCTTTCCATTCATAACAAACAGCGTTACATTCAAACACAACTTATATGCGATAAACTTGGCAGTGATGAACCAAACTTAAGAAAAGAAAACAATGCATAACGAAAAAACTATCTATAGTATGAGAAAAGATTGCAGATTACTAAACAGAGGTTCAATAATAGGAACAATAGAAGACTTCCATAAGGGAAAAACTATCTCTTAGATGAGAAAATCCATAGTTGAAACTGAACAAAAGACAATCCATAAGTGGAAAATCTATAACACAGTTCCAATATCAATCTGACTGAAAATTAGAAATAGAATACTAAATATCACATAGATGAAAACAGAATATTAAGCAGCAACTTCCCATTGTGGCCTTAACACCTTTTCCTGAAGTTCACTCAAAAGATAACTTATCGTTAGATAAATTAGAGGGATCCTAATAGGTTGCCATTTGTATCGGAAACCCCTTATGTTGTGGTCTTCCCTGTTTTTTAATTCATTGAGCTACACAATGGATATTTTTGGATTCTCAATAGCTGGGACCTCGACAATTAAAACAGGTGCATTCATAGAGGTTGCAATGCTTATATGACAGACAAAAGCCGGAAGGAAGAAATAAAAAAAAGGTCGGCATCCCATCAAAAAAGAATTAGAAGACTCTAATAAATACATGCTTGCATTATGCCAGGACCGGTTTTAATGACAATTCAACTTAATTGACTATATCATTAGGACTAATATAATCAAGAATCAAACAGTCTAGGTCCAATATGAAAGGAACATCATTATAATTCCTAATTATTAGACCTGTTTCATTTTGAAGAAAGCTCATTCTACAGTTAAATATCATCAAGACCAGCTGTGAATAATAATGGTAAACCAAAAGAAGGTTGTGTAACCGTGGTGAGGACTCATGTTGCCTCAAGCTAACCTTAAAAAGGCCTTACACTCTTCTCATTATAGCAATTATGAAAACAGGAAATTTTGAGTTCTTAGCCTAATGGACTCATGGAATATCCAGGTTTCGTCAACAGTATCGCTCCTGTTGACGCTCCTGTTGATGACAAATAAAACTTCACTTATAAAAAAGAAATAAGAAAATTAATTTTCAATTTTAAACTTGTAAACAAAATTACCAAAGGAATGGTTTGAAGTATCCAAAACCTCTAAATTCATCCACAAACACAGAGTTAATGGTGAGGATGATAGCTTGCCCTTCATTGAGAGATTTATCATCCAGTTGACTATAAACACTTCCACATAAAGTGACCTTTACCATTTCCCTTACGTGAGCAAGTATGCATGAGATCAAAGTAAATTATAAAGACACGAACATGGTTCATAAACAAATCAAAAAATATGTGGCTTGAAGTTACTAACTCAATGAGTTTTATTGTGATCTCTCTCCATCGTTTTGTTGCCGAGGTTTTCGATGTTATTGACGAATGCTTAATCATTTGACCGATTTACAGTAAGGTGAAGATTTTAACCTTAAACTTGCTATGATTTGCCCCTGAATATTGAAAGACATAGCTTGAAATGTCTAACCTCATACAATTCTTGGTCTCTCGGACTTAATTCAAACTTTAGAATCAACAGAGGAGGAACCATAGCTCATATATCTAAACCCTAGAATATAACCAAACCAAAATAAGTTTCAGGCTAAGTAACTTTGCAGATTTTGTTAAGAAGTGAAGTAAAGAGGTTACCTCTGAGTCGATCAACACCATGTCCATGTGCAGAACCATTCCTCTGTTGCAGTTCGTTGTGATTCACTTTCGAAACACGCGATATTGAATGATCCATTTTCGCGGATGAGTGGGTAAATCTTCAACGGCTGCAGTGACATCCTTTTTCTCTGATCCTTACGGTTGTAAGTTGGAGATCCTTTACAGCCCCAAAACGATGAAGTTACAGACTCGCCTGTTTGATAATCGCTAAACCCACGTTCCTCCGCACTTAAAAATTGGAACTAAGCCAGTCGTAGAGATCATCTTTCCTTGGATTTTGATGATAACCATCGACCATCAAGCTTGAATACAGTGAGAGGAATGACAACAGTTTCGCCGGACAAACCCATTTTCCTGGACACTAAAGAGTTCGAACTAAGTTGTTCTTAGATGTTGTGTTCCCTTAGAATCAGCTAATAACCATACACCATTATGGGCAAATAAGACCTTCGAATAAGGTAGATAATAGCACAAAACCGAGTTGGAAAGCAGAGGTGAGACTGGATGTAGAGGGGGTGCAAAATCGCTCAAAAGTTGATTGGGAATCACCGAATTTAGGGCCAGCAAAGGCTTAGCACCGCTGGGTAGATAAGGATAAGGTACTACTCGTTGGACGTCGCCCCTAACCATTTAGGGTAGCAGTGCTTGCTGCCGTAGCTTTGAAATAGGGATAACTGTGGGTAATTGAAAAAATCAACAGGAAGATGATTGTGAGGAAATATGCTGAAGACTTCTCCCTTAATCATTTGTTGCAATCTTTGCACACCCAATGGAAAAATTACTGAGAATAGCCATTAATTTTAAAATAAATCCAACAATCGGACTGATTTGACGATGTGAATCGACGCGGTGTGGAATCTTACTACGGGAACTTACCAAGGAGAAAGAACAGATGACGTGGCGGCAAGATTGTTTGGGTAGTCGACTCCAATGCGAGACGGGCCGAGAGAGCAAGAGAGAGGCACAGAGATGTTCTTTTCGAAGGTGTCGGGAGATAGACGGCGAGAGCGAGAGAGAAGTTTGCTTTCTCACAGAATATTGGAAGACAGAGAGCAAGGCAGTAGAGGTGGTATGGGAATTGACAATAAAAACCCTCCGAACTGTGCGCCCGTTTCACTTAAGGCTGGCGTGGAAGATGCTGTTTTTTGACATTGTCGTATAGTATTTTGTAGATGGGTTTCAAACCTTAAGTTCGACAAGATACCAAACATCATTGTCTTTTATTGACTTCATTCCATGATATTGATCCACTTTTGAGAGTATAAGCTATCCATGACTAACCAAAATTAGA